GTAAGTTCTTAAATTCTTGAATTATGGATGACTAGTAATCTCCCAATGCCTACTGTTGGATATCATATTAACGGGACCAAAATCCTAACACACATTACTGGGATTTACCTTTGGGCTTATGTTGACTAACGATTGTGAGTCTAAATATTACACATTTCATGACAACACTGTCGACTTTTTGCTAATCAAATTTTAAATTGCCATAATCGTTAGTCAAGAATATTTTCCTAAATAGTAAATATTGTTGAGCAATTTATTATCATCTGTCTTTCCAATTGTTCTCTTTTTTTGTGTTTTTAGTAATATACAGTATGTTCACTTTTGGATGTGAGGTCATATACTATAGTGTATTTAGTATTTACTATACAATGGTGTATTTAAAAGATTGATTTTTGAGTTGTACAATACCCAGCAAATGATATCTATCAGACCAAGATCTATATGCATTACAGTAAACCGTCCTGTTTGGCGACTAATTGGTGCCGAAAAAACCTCCCCAAACCCAGACTCGCCAAACCAGAGGGCTTAATCCAATGGGAAAAAGCCTAATTGGTACCGAGGGCCAGCCAGTCTCAATTTTTTCCTATTTTACCCACATATAACCTATATTTTATTGCTGAAAGAGAATGAATAATTAGTTAATCAACATAAACATATAAAACCAACCTTAAAATTATAAGTTAAGGTGCTTAATGTACACTAAGCTGGTATCTGAGGCTGGGGTAGGAAGGCAAACGTCCGTCGCCCCCCTCCTCCACCACTGCCTCTGCCTCCGCCCCCACTAGGTCAAAGCCTTCAAAATAAAAGTCCTTTGGCAAGCTCAATTATATCCACAATCTTTCTCTTATCCTCAAATGAGTACTTTTTAATTTTCTTCCCAACTTGATACTCACGAGAATTTTTCGTCTATGTTTTCACCCCATCAGTTGAACCGCCTGGGCGCTCAGATGGTCTTTCACTACCACTATCATCCCCTCCAATACTCCCAGGTACTTTTGAGGCCATTAATCCGCACGAGAACACCGCGCCAAGCGAGAGTGAATAAAAAAATTTACACAAGGCCAAAGTCACTCAAACAAACAGCGGGAATGTGGTCAAAATGGCTACCTGAATAGCTGACTGGCGCTTTGCGCTCGGTAAATGCTCACCAGTAGTATTAAGCGCGATTTATCTTGCACTTATTATTCTACAATTATTAGTTGTGAATTAATTTAAATTTAAACTCTCGCCAAAGGTGAGGGTTTGGTCGCCAAAATGGAGGGCAGGGTACTTTGAATTTTGACCTCCAACTTCGAATTCGCCAAACAGAAAGTTGCCAAACTGGAGGGTTTACTGTACAGTATTATATAATACTTGGTGTGTGCCAGAACAGTACCTATACAGTATAGTACTTAATGGCAGGTCAATGAGTGACTCCAGAGTGACCCAACGCATCACCCTCAAGTAATTATTAGTTTCTTAATATCCTTTTCCAAAGTGATTTCGGAATTATGAGGAATACCTGATCAACTATTCAAGGAAGTTACTTTTATTACAAAGGAATAGAAGAATAGTAAGATGAATTATGTAAGTCTGACTGAGCTCAAAAACCATATTGATCTGCTTCTAGCACTGCATGTTGCTTTGCAATACTGTACTGTACATACAATGCTTCAATAGTACTGTTATGGGAGTACTTCTTGTCATTTAATCAGTTGTTACAAGCCATTGAAATGAAGTTATTTCTATTCATAATTTGTTATTTATATGAAATTAAGTAGAAAAAAGGGCCACTGCCAGTATCATGGCCCTGTGTGCCTTGTGGCTGAGCTTCAACATTGTGGATATTAGGACAAAGGTTTCATCTATTATACCACTTCATGGTGCCAAGTGACATAAAAGAAAAATTTACGAAAGCAAGTGATGAAGCACTCTAGAAATTAACCTTCAAATACACTCTCTGGTGTTAGAGAACAGTTGTTGTTAACAAATTATTCTTAATCTATGTTAAGATAAAACAAACACTCAGTGAATAATTTTCTAGTCAAAAGTGACCAACATAATCCAGAAGTGAACTTTCTTTTTCACTTGTCAAATTTCTTGACACTGCAATTACTGTTATTGCTGCACGTGCCTTGTACTGTTGAACTTTGTAATGTATTTCTCTCACTCTTCACAGGATGCCACAGGTGATGCATTGTGTAAACAAACATCTGTTTTGCTGTTCCTACTGTAATGTACAAATTGTTGTGCAAGTTACTACAGCTTGTATGACATCAAGACTACAGTTGTTGGATTTGTGCTGTTTTCATAGTTCTCTTTTGGGCATACAGTACTGCTATAATTACAGGGATAGATAGGGTTAGAAAATGGGTTGTAGTTTGGACATTTCCTGTGTTCCTATTGAGGATAATTGCAGCAGAGGCTAAAGGAGGGAAGATGATAATTGGAGGTGTGTAGTAGAATCTTACTTTTTCGTTTTTGAGGAGAAAGACATCCTTTCTTAGAAGGTTTTGACTGGCCTGTAGCTGAGTTGGGAAATAATTGAGATTCAGAAATGGGTCCAGGAAATTGTTTGAGAAAATTTTCTTTTGGACTTGCATTTGTAGTAAAAGAAAAAAGTATCTGTCATTGTCTTGAACTTGGGGGACTAAAACTGCCTGTGTTTCTGCACCAACATCTGATTGCAGATGATTATTCAGTACTCGGAATAATTTATTTTAATTATTTGAGAAATTTCACTTACTGAAACTTAGCACTTCTTTTTATACGGTTTATATTACACTTTAAGAGACCACAGTCACTTTAGGAAATATATGTCTCATTTGACCCTTGCTATAACATGACTGGTGTGGACATACTGAGTACTGACTGGCCGCTGAATCAAACTGGCATGTCCAGGATGAGCTGTGGACTTTGCCATCGCTATTTATTCCCTTATTAGACAATATAGAATTTACATTGGTTATATTTAACTTTGTTTTGTCTTGGAATGTCATTCTAATGGATAACAGCCCATACTCTGTTGATAGGGAGATGAGTTGTGTGAAGACTTTGAAAATAGTGATGAATGGTTATGTTAGTAGTTATTAAGCAGAGACAGGGAAGCTCTATTTTATATAACTTGGAATTAAATTTTTGTATTAATGGATGAACGGAAGTGTGAGACCACACCTGGATTACGCAGTTCAGTTCTGGTCACCGTATTACAGAATGGATATAGAATCCTTGGAAAGAATTCAGAGGAGAATGACAAGACTAATCCCGGGCATTAGGAACCTTGAGTATAGAGACAGGTTAAAGCATCTTAATTTGCACTCCCTTGAGAGACGTAGAGCGAGGGGCGACCTGATAGAGGTGTACAAGTGGAAGGCAGGGCTAAACAAAGGGGTCATTACAAAGGTACTCAAACTATCCAACCAGGAGCGAACTCGTAACAATGGTTTTAAATTAGACAAATTTAGATTTAGGCGTGAAATTGGTAAACACTGGTTTGGAAACAGAGTAGTGGATGAATGGAACAAGTTACCAAATATCATCATTAACTCGAATACGCTGAATTGCTTCAAACATAGGTTGGATGCTCATATGAGCAATAGGGGTTGGGTGTAAACGGGACTGCCCAGTATGGGCCAATAGGCCCGCTGCAGTTTCCTCCATTCTTATGTTCTTATGTTCTTATAATTGGTAGTTCAGTGTATGAAGACAACTTGACTCTTAGATTGGTAAGGTATCTGTTAGTAGAAAATGAGACAGGTGGCAAATACGTCAATAGATGATGATAATAATTTAATAGTCACAATTTAGTTAATGGGTGGGCCTAGATAAGTTATTATAGTGTGTTTTTTAATGATTAATTTGGTGGTTCTGGGTTGATGAAAAAGTTGTTTGTGATCAGTATTAATTATCACATCATTACCAAATGAGGAGTTCATAGTAATCGCCAAGGACTTATTTTTCCTAGTTCTCATTTTGGGTGATATTTTGGTCTCCATGAGGTGAGAGTAAACGAAGGGATAAAAGGTAACATTACAAGGCTTCTTTTTTCTGTATGTAATTTAGAAAATTTGTTTTGGTGGAGACTCGTTTTTGTCTCAAACCTTTTTTTGGATTTTTTTTTTAATTTTGCAAAGTGTACGCTTTTTGTAACAATGAATGTTCAGCATTTTTGTCATCTTCTTTTACAGTATTTTGAAACTTATTGTCATAATTATTACACGTTAATCATTTTATACATCAACCTAGATCATTTGACAGTTATTTAAACAGTTCTGCACCAATCTAATTTGAGAACTTGTATCTAAAGGAATTTGCTTGTCATTGCATTCTTGTTCACAGTTATTTGATTTTTGACAGTTTTCCTTGTACAGTATATTAGTATTCATTCTCTAAATGTTCAGTGCCTCAGTGATAATGACATTTGAAGTTTATTTATTGTTTCAGTAATTTCTTTGTTCACTATTTTTAGTTTCATGTTACCTGTATTCCTATGAACTCTATAAATTGTAGTGCAAATATTTCATCCTAATTATCAAATACCATATTAGTATGTAAATATTCCCAATTATCTCTGTTGGTTTAATTACAAATGTAGGTGCTATGATATGGTGCAGTCTACAAAGATATCTTTAGTCTAACCTGACCTGACCTGACCTGACCTAGCCTAACCTAACCTAATCTAACGTAAATATCTTGTAGACCGCATGTTATAGTAGCACCCATATATATATATATATATATATATATATATATATATATATATATATATATATATATATATATATATATATATATATATATATATATATATATATATATATATTATATATATATATATATATATATATATATATATATATATATATATATATATATATAATATATATATATATATATATATATATATATATATATATATATATATATATATATATATATATATATATATATATATATATATTGCATTGTAAACAAAATTACCTTGCAAACCCTAATGAGGTCAATCCCTACTGACTAATCAGGTCCCTCGTCACCGGATTCCAACCTACTTCGTGTCCAATCAGCAACCATTGGCCGTCGACTGTCAGACAACGAGTTAATGATGCCTCCAAAGATTCGTGTAGCTCATTCCTCTGCCTCCTCCCCTGGCGAGACATCCACAGGCTCTCTGCCAATCAGGAGACACTCAAGTATTGGTCCAGAACGACGTGGGTCCTATTGCATGAATCTTTCGCCTCCAACAGTAAGTATATTGACCGCAGGTGTGGGGCCAGTCTGAATGGGTAGGAGCCTTTTTTATAGCAAATTTATACATTTTTACATAAAAGGTGGAATGGTATAATGTCACACAGGGAGAGGGAAGTCAAAATATCACCCAGGGAGCAGGCTATTACAAAATCACACAAGGTTTCTGGCAGTGGCCTTAAGTGATGCTAATCTTCTGACAAATTATTTGTGTAATAAGTTACAGCCAATATCACAGTCAAGTGTAATGATAAATAATATTTAGCTTTGTCTTAACTTTTTATTATTCATTAAAAGAGAATTAACAGTTATGAAGTTCATTAATATTATTATTATTATTATTATTATTATTATTATTATTATTATTATCATTATCATTATTATTATTATTATTATTATTATTATTATTATTAGTATTATTATTATGATGATGATGATGATGATGATGATGCTGTATAGGAAAGGTGATTGATATGTATGTTTAAATGCAATGAAAATTAATATTAATAATTTTTTAATAATGTATATTAATTTGTATGGCATAATATTGTCATGTATATTAATAGACACTGCCAACTTATTGGGTCTATAGTATATTGAAATTTACATAGTTTTATGAATATTTATGATTGTGTTAATGTGATATTTTTGTAATTGTAATTTTTCGTAGGGTTGTAAATTGTTGCATATATGTTTCTGAAATCTGTGAGTTTTCCTTTTAAATAATCAATACTTTAAATAGAATTTCGATATGATGTGGAATTATTTGATTTTTTTTATACAATACGTACAAAAAATTTATCCTCTTAGTGTAGAAACAAATGTAGGTTAGGATTTCACTTTAGCCATTTTTATTACAAGATAATTTCTAATGCCTCAACCTGTAGCACTAAAATACAGCATATACTACCTACATATTTAAAACTTAAATTATTTTTTACTAGTTACTGTATAGTAATTTAGAATTAATATCTGTGGTATATTTTTGGCCTGTGTACATTATGCTACTTCATTTCCAATTTTTCCTGAAATAGGTTTAGTACATAGAGTATAAATTTATGAGAAATTCTTTGTTTTAGTTGAATAATTATTATACTTAACCATATGGGATTATGTATGTGGTAATTACATAGAAAACTTAACAGAATATGTTATGAAGTTGTACTCTCTCTCTCTCTCTATATATATATATATATATATATATATATATATATATACTTCATTTTTAGTCCATATAACACGCGGACTTTGAACATATAATCAACGACCTCACCAGCAAGGAATCGAACCCTCGACCTACTGGGTGTGACTAGGGAACGCTTACCGGCTAGGCCACAAGGACACTAAAAGCAGTTCTAGACTCTGTTATATTTCACACAAAGCCTGTTCATCGAGCTGATGGCGCCGTGAACCTCATTGGGAAACTGCCCGTGCCTCTTATGTGGTGTCAGTAGCATTTTACCGAATCCAGCTGGTATGAAACGCGAGGTACATATATATACTTCATTTTTAGTCCATATAACACGCGGACTTTGAACATATAATCAACGACCTCACCAGCAAGGAATCGAACCCTCGACCTACTGGGTGTGACTAGGGAACGCTTACCGGCTAGGCCACAAGGACACTAAAAGCAGTTCTAGACTCTGTTATATTTCACACAAAGCCTGTTCATCGAGCTGATGGCGCCGTGAACCTCATTGGGAAACTGCCCGTGCCTCTTATGTGGTGTCAGTAGCATTTTACCGAATCCAGCTGGTATGAAACGCGAGGTACATATATATACTTCATTTTTAGTCCATATAACACGCAGACTTTGAACATATAATCAACGACCTCACCAGCAAGGAATCGTATAAGGACTAAAAATGAAGTATATATATATATATATATATATATATATATATATATATATATATATATATATATATATATATATATATATATATATATATATTCACTACGGCTGTAAAATGTGGCTTAAAAACTTCTTTAAACAGTACAGTATAGTAGTTCAGGAAATAGTGTTATTTAAGCTATGACTTGATGGAGCTTTTCTCCATATTTTTTTTATAATGGAAGTGTTGCTATCTAAAATTTATTCATGTTAATTTCTCCCCAGTGATGGTAGGTAGTGTGGGAACAGTTGCGATATACAATATACACTTTCTTAAATTCATTTTATATTGGAAGACTGCAAATATCCAGTGATATCTTGTGTCCTTATTTTGTCACTAAATTTACATATAAACTCCAGTTCATAATTATGATTTCCTAAACTCCAGTAAAGGACTGTGATATTAATTCTTAATATTAATGACTACATACAGTAAACCCTCTCAGTAAGGGATATTCCCAATAAGGCATATCATTTGTCTGGTATGATTAACGAATTCAACCTGTAAGACCTGTTAACTCTCTGGTACTCCTGGCTGGTCGGAAATCTCACCACCTCACAGTCTTTTAATACAGGTTCGGTAGAGCAATTCAGACCGAAATTGAACCCTTAGAGATGCAACTGCCAGCCCACGAGGCTAGTGGGAGGAACGTAGGTGGTTGATATTGTCGGTCTGCTGTTGCCGCATTTCCGCTTCCAGTGTGAGATACAGCTGAGCGGGAGGGGTCGCGCCAGCACAAATGTGCTTAGCAATGCAATTTGCGTTGAAAGACAACGAGAGGGTTAATGAGAATAATTCCCGCTGTTGACCAGTTTTCTTCCCATAACATGTTTCAGAAGAAACAAAAATGGTGGCATTGATAGCTGTAGTGCAAAAAGAACACATAACGCGAGTAAGCTTATCAGACCTGAGGCTTGAAGATGATAGTTACGCAGATTCTCACCAGGAAAAGACAGAGGCGTTGAACAGTTTCTTTTCCTCGGTATTCAAAAGAGAGGATGCAAACAATCTTCTTGCGTTTGAAGACAGACAGTTTGACACAGTGCTGACCCACATTGTCTTCTCAGAAGAGGTTATAAGAAATAAAATGCCAAAGCTAAAGGTTCATACGAGTCCTGGCCCTGACATAGTGCATCCCAGAGTGCTAAGAGAGTTATATAATGAGCTTGCTGAGCCCCTGAAGATCCTGTTCTGTAGATGCCTGAATGAGCAAAATGTCCCCAGTGACTGGAAAATGGCTTATGTGAGTCCTATTTTTAAGAAGGGCGATCGTCACTTCACGAACAACTATAGAACGGTGAGCCTGACCAGCATGGTATGTAAAGTGCTTGAGAGCATTATAAGAGATGCCATGATGGAACATCTACTACGAAACAACCTTGTAAAGGACTGTCAACACGGTTTTATGCCTGGACACTCCTACCTAACACAATTACTCAAGGTACTGGATGTTTGGACCCAAATTCTGGAACAGGGTGGCAATATAGACAGTATACCTAGATTTTGCCAAGGCTTTCAACAGCGTACCCCGTGAAAGGCTGAGAATTAAACTGGGAGGGTACGGGATTTGGAGAAGTGTCCTAGCGTGGATCAGAGACTTTCTGCATGATCACAAGCAGTGTGTGGTGATTAATGGTATGAAATCATCACGTGTACCCGTCACAGGGCAGTGTGTTGGGCCCGTTATTGCTTTTTTGTTTGTTTCTTAAATGACATGCCAGATGTTGTGCATTCCTCCATACAAATGTTTGTGGTTGATACCAAGTTATATAGGGAAATTAAAAACGAAACAGGTTGTGAAGAGTTGCAGAAGGATCTCTGTGAGCTTCAAGAATATGGTCGAAGAAATGGCTGGTAAGATTTAATGTCACTAAGTGAAAGAGGATGCACCTGGGACGTACCAATAGTAAGGACGCATATCACATGTTCCAACGGGATGAAGAGACTGCATTAATTGAGACCGAATGTGAAAAGGATCTGGGTGTGTATGTCGACAATGAACTTAAGTTCTCGGGCCAATGTGAGAAGGTGAATCAGGCAACGAAACTAATAGGTCTTCCAAGAAGTTGTTTAGATATCTGGATGGTCTGTTGCTCGTCATGATCTTCAAGAGTGAGGTGCTTCCCCGTCTGGAGTACTGTTAACCCGGCTGGTCCCCGAGATATGCTAGGGACTGTCAGTTGATTGAAAATGGCGCCTGCTCTACGGAACCTCAGTTTCCCAGAGAGATTGGAGTGCTTGCAACTGCCTAGCATACTACAGATGGGCAAGGGGTGACTTAATCGAAGTACAGTATCTAAACATCTTAGTCAAGTGTCCATACCTTGAGCTAGCGGACGCCACCCCACAAGGGGTCACAGCTCAAATCCAGAAAACTGTGAGGGCAAACTTTTTTGGGTGAGAATTGTAAGCTCTTGGAACAACCTACCGGAGAGTGTTCTGACGGAACTGAATGTGAGCTGTTTTAAGACCAGACTTGACCAACACTGGAGTAGGTTCAAATACATTCAGAAGCCAGTGCATGCCAAGTACTTGCCAACAGTGCGTAGCAGAGATGTGACTGACTGCCCAAGCGGTTAATGGCCCAATCAGTGGCAAAGAGGATAGAAGTATAAAAGTAAAAAAAGAAAGTACTTGGTATCAAAGAAAAAGTGGAAAATTCTCCTAAAACTCAATATAAAACCTCTGTGGTCAAGCATTTGGGATTCCTGATACTCAAATGCACCATTTAAGACGTGCATTTTGGTCTTCGGGAATGATGTGTGATATAGGGGGTCCCCGGGTTGCGAATGGGCTCCGTTCCTGAGGACGTTAGTCAGTCGGATTTGTATTTAAGTCGGAACATATGCTATATGCATACCGTACTTAAAAAACAATGTTTAAAATCCCACTATATCATAGCCTAAGTCAATTGTTTCTCTATATGTTTGGTACAAAGCAAAGAAATAATAAAAAGGCTTCATTCAAAAGCGAATTTCATCTTTGACTTCGACCTTTTGAAATAAATATTTGAAATTTTCTAACATCCTCTCTTAAGAGCTAATGCCTTGAAATCATTTAAATTTTGGTATTCCAGATATTTAACATTATTTTAGAGATT